TGTGTGTGTGTGTGTGTGTGTGTGTGTGTGTGTGTGTGTGTGTGTGTCCTCTAAGTGGACCGTCTCCATGACTTCATGGACTTCATGACCACAGACTTCTTCCACCTTAACGGCTCACTGTCACTTTCTCTTCTTCTCTCCTCCGACTCCTCACTACACTTTTGTCCTTATCTCCTCCTCCTCCTCCCTTTATTTATACTTTTCTCTCATTTCCCCTATCTTCTTCTTCTTCTCCTCCTCCTCTCTTCTTCTTCTCTGTTTCCTGTCCCTGCAGACTTGACCAGCAGACCCCGTAGCCCTCCTCAGCCCCCTCCTCCTCCGCTGCCGCCAGGCCGACCGCCGCCGCCCACTCCTCCACAGGAGCGAGGAAACGAGACGCAGGAGGACGCAGGAGGAGGAGGAGGAGGAGGAGGAGGAGGAGGAGGAGGTGGGGAGGCCGCAGTGACCATGGCGACGACGGCAGGAGGAGGAGGAGGAGGTGTGGAAGACTGGGAGGAGAGAGACACTCCTCTACGCCAACTAGAAGCTGTGGAAGGAGAGGAGAGGGAGGGAGGGAGGGCGCCACGAGCCATCGATAACCAGTACTCCTTCTTCTGATGAAGGGAGGAGGAGGAGGAGGAGTGTGTATGTTTGTGTTTGAGTGTGTGTGTGAGCAGATGTGAGATTGGATGAGGCAGCGTACATCATAGCCATTCATAACCAGTATTTTTATTTTGTTAGCAAGGTGGAGGAGAGAAGGAGGAGGAGGAGAGGAGGAGGTGTAAAAAGTACTAACACTAAACGAGAGAGAGAAGACGGAGAGCAGCTTTACAACACTAACTAGCGGTACATTTCTTTTTTAATTGTTAATGTTTTTAGTCCGATAAGCTTTGTGTGTTGTTGTTTTTTGCCGGTTCGACTCCTAAAGAACTCTTCTGTTGTTCGTGAACAGTAAACGGAGCTCGAGGGTTGAAGCCGACAGTCTTGATACCTCAACCGTGGTCCACACGCTAGCCAGAGGCCCAACCTCTCTACAGACGTTAGGTACGGTACGGAGGCCCCGGGGGGACAAATCGTCCTGTGTTTGTGACGTAAGGTTCAATAAGGATTAGTTCCTTTATTCAATATTTAATCATGTGAGAAAAAGTATGTTTGTTCACGTGAAAACATCTCCTTCAAACTACTGGATTTATTCAAGTTCATCACCAAAACTACATTTTACAGATGACATGTGAACACATCATGATAACGTTATAATGTACCTTCAGCCAGTACTCAAGTTCACTGAGCAGAGCCTGAAGGCATCATAATGTAACTGAAGTGAACCTCTGTTGGTTAGCCGTTAGTGGTGCTGCTAACGTTACTAGCTCTCCTCCTGTTGGTTAGCCGTTAGTGGTGCTGCTAACGTTACTAGCGCTCCTCCTGTTGGTTAGCCGTTAGTGGTGCTGCTAACGTTACTAGCGCTCCTCCTGTTGGTTAGCCGTTAGCGGTGCTGCTAATGTTACTAGCTCTCCCCCTGTTGGTTTAAACACCGATTGGTTGTTTACATTTACTAAAGTTGGCACATTTAGCATTTTCTGTTCACTTTGTTCTTTAAATTTAGGTTTTAAAATATGTTGATTTTTTAAGTGTAAAACATTTGCTGGTTCATGCTTTAAAAATGTGTTTTATGTTTTTCTAGATATTATTTTATTGTAAATTTAATATTTTTAAAGATATCCAAATGGGAATTACTCACAGCTGTTTTTTCTTTCTTGTTCTTCTATTTTCTGACATTTTATTGGTTTTACAATTAACTAAATAACAGAAAGAAAAATCTAAAGATGAGTTGAAAACCAGTCTTGAAGATGTTCGTATTCTCGTTACGTTGATCGGTTACTCATCAAAAACTACATTTTACAAGATTACGTGTGAACTCATCGGGACAACGTTATAATTTATGAAACACTTCTATAAGAACACGGTGGAGCACTTCAGCCTCTTGTGGCCACAATGAGTATTACAACAACAAAATACTTTATTTTTTTACTTGTTTTCACAGAAAATACATAACTGAATAATCATCCTGGCAAAACCTTTTTCCACCTGTTCTTAAGTCACAAACATGTTTTTGTCCTCTCAGGGCTTCCGGAGTTCTGCGACAGGAAGACTCAAAACGTAACTCAGTTCCCGGTACAGAGAGCTCGTCTCACCAGACTCACACATAATAGTACTTCTGAGATGTGCTTTTCTTTGTTTTACGTTATTGTGTATTTAATATCTTTCGGGTAAAACTATTTGAAGAGTACGTCTGCAGCTTCTGGACATTTTGATGGACGTTATATTAAGATAAAATAAACCTTTATTGATCCCGAGCGTTAGCATAAACACACCAAACAATACAGAAATAAACACATTAATTAAAGGGCTTTATGAAACATAAAGGCAACGTGACATCGGTGTGGTTCTTTACGCTCTTCTGGCATTCTTAATAAAGATTACTTGATAAGAACAATCCTAATAGTTTGCAGCCGTGCGTCCATCACTGTTCATGAACAGCGGTAAAGTCTGTCTGGTGTGACGAGTGTTTTGGGTCTAAAGTGGAAACTTTTACCTCAGACCTCAGTAGACGTCTCGCTCTCTCTCTGACACGAAGGAGGAATTATTCATGATACCAATAACTAATTATTGATGGAAATAATAATAATGACGGTCAAAATAATAGTATTAATTTTATTTGTGTTAAGACACTTTTTATTTTGTATATGCTTACTCGATGTAACACTTGTTCCGACTCCATCTTGTATTCGATATGTTTGTGCCTTTTTTGTTTGTTTGGGATAAAAAGAAGGAAATACATATATATACATGTACATGTATATGTATATACAGTTGTGTGAAAAAGTGTTTGCCCCCTTCCTGATTTCTTATTTTTTTGCATGTTTGTCACTTAAATGTTTCAGATCATCAAACTAATTTAAATATTAGACAAAGATAACACAAGTAAACACAAAATGCAGTTTTTAAATGAAGGTTTTTATTATTAAGGGGGAAAAACAATCCAAACCTACATGGCCCTGTGTGAAAAAGCGATTGCCCCCTAAACCTAATAACTGGTTGGGCCACCCTTAGCAGCAACAACTGCAATCAAGCGTTTGTGATAACTGGCAATGAGTCTTTTACAGCGCTGTAGAGGAATTTTGGCC